GGAAGACCAAAATTCCACCAGCACCTGGAATCAGCACAGCCTCTCAAGTGTTATCAATGGTATGCATATAGTTTTGGTGATACCTGATTGTATTTGAAAGTTATTGGGGAACTAATTTGAAAAACTAATTTGCACTATTTAAATGGAGTAGGATTATAGTAATTAGAATTTTGTCAGTCTTCCTCAGGAGCAGTTAAAATGTGCAAAATCTTGCATTGTAGAAATGATAAACCTAGTTTATTTAATAATAATAAATAACCTAGTTTATTTTGACCCAGGGATATTCTTCAGTCAGTATTTTGACAGGGGAACCGAAATGGATTCTTCTGTTTATCAGTTACTAAATGATGAAAAATCCACCATTGTTATTCAGGAAAATGAATTAAGAACATTTTCAAATAATTATAATTACCATAATTTCCGGAAGAAACACCACAACGTTTATGTGTTTAAAACTTTAATTTTCAGCGGGTGTGGCATTTCTACCCATGCGGCGCTTTGGTGCACTAAAAAAATATTTCTTATGATGTCATTGTGCATAGTTTGAATGACCTCGTTATTGTACATAGTTTAAATGACCTTGTCATTGTACATAGATTGGTGCTGTTCCCACACTAAAGACGACTCAGTTGCTTTCTGTGAACTTTATTTTGCTTACATTCTGTCTCTTGAACAGACCTACCTGCCTTATTCACCCTAAATGGGATATAAAAACAATAACATTGTTTCCTCTTTCAAATCAGCATTCTCATCAGTTTGAATAGTCTCTCTTCTCTGCCATTTGATGAATCTTCCAGGACCCGTCCTCTCCCCACCCCTGCCTTTTCCATTGTAAATCTACTGCAATTTTTTTCAAAGCAGACATCACCTGCATTGCAATAACAAATTCTGATGTATTTCCCCTTCAGCACGAATCGGTTTTTCTTGGCATTCTGCCAGATACAGATCCCATCAGTTGGGTACAAGTACTTGTTACATAGTTTTTAAGTAAGACAGGAGTGAAAATTTTTTTAAAATGGCACCTAAACCGCGCAGAAGCTATACTGCTGGTTTTAAGCTTAATGTAATTTCACGTGCTGAACAAATTGGAAATAGAGCAGCAGCTCGAGAGTTTGAAGTGGATGAAAGATGCATTCGAGGTTGGAGAACAGAAAATTTGTACGATCAGTAATTTGGCTCCGTTGCTGCGTATTTGCTTGGCACGCATCTCAAACCGAAACATTCCACATAGATACATCGTTGATCTGACGTCAACCTGGAGAATCATTTTTTATTATACTTTCCTTTCATCATCGCATGTTTATCAAAACATGACAACTTAAGTAATGACTCATGTAGTGATGCCTAAACAATATTTTTATGTTAGTAATTGAATAATAGCAGTAATTGAATAATAGCATAACCTTTTATGTTGACATTATGCTTGGCAATGATTACAGATTTAAGTTAAATGCGCTAAAAAATGTTGACCAAGGAAAATTTTCTTTCCATATGCTGAAAATAGATTTTGTTGATGATACTCATAGAAAAATTTGTCGTTAGTCGCCAAGCTCATGATACAAGGATAGCTAAATTTGATGATGACAGTCGCTAATTTTAAAGGTTTTTGGACATAGCAAAACAAAGGTGAAATTTTCCAGTTAACGGATTTTGTAAAGAAATGTGGAGAAGCGATAATAAATGAAGATGATATAAAAGAAATTTTTCATTGTGATGACAATGCTTCTCAATCATCAATCAATTAATGAATGGAGAAATCTGTAGTATGGTTCTAGATCCAGAAAATTCTGCTACCGATAGTTAAGAAAGTGACAGAGAAGTTACTGAAAACGAGAAAATTTCGATTGAAAAGTTAGTCGGAATTCTCGAAACAGCAGTTACAGGATTTCAACCATGTATCTAAACAAGAGATTATGTCTGTCTACAGCATAGAACAGAAAGTATTAGCACAAAAAAAGAAGTAACTTTAAACAACTTACATCGAAAGGAATGTTTAATAAGGTAAACAAATAAATATTAAGCTTTTTTTTGTAAATTTTGATACCCTTTAGATCATAAATACTTCGTTATGTCATAAATCGTGATTTCATATTTTTAATTTTATAATTTCTACATGCCATCTTACTAGATTTAAACTGGTGATCTAGTATCTGGAAAAATCCGGAATCGGCGAAGTCGGGACGAGTCCGGATTTCGGACTTTGTACTGTATTTTGTGCCAATATTAATGCTTGGTAGTTATTGTTAGGGTCTGTGTAGTTTCACAAGTGGCAGAATTTAGGGGTATTAATTTTTTTAGAATTTACAAATGGATGGCAGAATTTCAAAATCACTCAGTTTGTAACAGGTGACAAAAAACACAGTGCCAGCCTTGATGACTGCTGCCGTCTTATTGGAAAGTACCAGAATTTTTTATATTTATTACCAGTAAAACTAAAAATAATACTTTTCTGTCATATCGGAATGGCACATTCTAAATAAACTTGCCGTTTTCTTTCAAATGCTACCAAAACGAATTACTTTAGAGCGTCAAAACCTTATGACTGATCATGAAATAATTACTGTTTGTAAATTGAGAGGAGGAGTATTCAAACTTGAATATTCTGAAGTTTTGAAAACTGTAATAACATCTTTGTACGTATGTAAAAAATGATTTTTTGTATACTTTGTCTGTATTATTATTATGCATAAAATTATGTTTAGTATGTAAATATTTTTTTCCTTAAAAAGTCATTAAGAAATTGAGGGTTTTTGTGTGCTTTTAAAATTTATTATTATTTAAACTTCCCTTTTTTAATCTTAAATTTAATGATTTCTAATTTATAAACAGAAATCTGCACAGCCTCATTTTCCATGCAGTGTGAGTTTTTAATCTTCTGCTGTATCATTTTTTTCATCAGTTTATTGATTGAGTGCGTATAATTAATTTGCTGAGTGTTTTATGTCTGTAGGCAGTTACATTGTTTAATATTTGAAATATCTTGAAATAAAGTATATTTTTATCAATTAGACTACCCTCATGCAAAGTGTAGTTTATATGTGTATCATTGTGCCTTTATTTGTAAAAGAAATTGTATATATTTTGAACTGTGGTATCTTTTTGAATCCATTCTAATTTTTTATGTACATCTTTCATGTCACTTAAATTTTCGTCTTCTGTTGTTATGTTATACAAAATGGACAAATAGTGCATGGAAGTGTCACTGTATTAGAGATAGACTGCATTATGCAAATACAATGGCACTGCTGTATTATTTTTGTAAGTGTAAATACACTGCCATACGATACTTATAGCTGACTATGTAGCTCTTTCTAAGCAACTGTAAAAAATAACATGATATGTAAAATTGCAATTTAGATGCATTTGATTGAGAGCAAATAGTATCTCTATTACATCATCCAGTTTTTCAGAGCTCAAGAATTGGTGTCTTCTCATTCCACTGTATGAACAGTATGGTAAGTGTACACATTGCAGAAAAAGAAAGCGCAATCAGGCAAATTGCAAGGGACAAGCAATCTTTGAAAGATCCTGATCTTCAAAGATTCGTGGGTTGTGGGTTGCCAGTGATACCAAACATTAGCTCAGATGACCACCCAGCTAAATTATGGGTCCAGTTGGACAGTAAGTAGACATGCTGTGCACCACTTCTTTTGTTGTATTGGTTTTAGAAGCTAAAGACTCACAAGACTACTGATCTCACTATATGCAACCATGTTTAATGTCTTAATGAACCTTAGAACACTGTGGCTGGAGCATTGACAACTAGAAATGAGTAATGTGGAGCGAGTCTCAATTCTAACTGCATCATGCTGATGGTAGTCTAACCATAAAGCACCTAGTCCTATGAAACCATACATCCAGCATTCAAGGTTGAACTGTACCTGGTGATCCAGATGTTATCTGGGGTGTTTTTTCATGACAGTCTTTCTTTTGGCAGTTTACTTGTGTTAAGCACCCTCACCCCATGTAAATGCAAAGACATGCTCTCTGATCACTTGCATCTCTTCATGCATATCAGCTATCTGTATGGAAATGAAATGTACCATCAGGATAATTACTTCTGTCACAGATCCAAGTTGGCTGTCACCTAATCTGAGGAGCATTCCACAGGATTCTTCATGCTGAAATTGCCACTGAGAAGCTCAGCCTTAAATCCCATTGAACGCTTTTGTGTTACTCTGGAAAAAAATGTGCAAGTAAGTCATTCACCCCCAAGATCCTTAACTGATTTATAGGAAATTTTGAAAAAAGTTTTACAGGCCATATTTGTGGAGGAGTTCTGTAGACTTGTTCAATCCATGCCTCATCATGTAGCAGTCATTATGAAGGCAAAGGAGTAGCAACTCATTGTTAATCAGTTATCCCTAATTCAGGCGCATTTCAATATATTATTCAACTTTCATAGCTGGAATGAAGTAACATCTTTCAACCTCTCAATATAATTACTGTCATTTTTAATCTTCAATTTATTGCTCTTACTTATTCTAGAACATTTATGTCCAAATAAATTCTTCACAAATAACTTTCTTATAAACCAACTTTTATGTACATTTAAATCACCTTTCATCTAAATCATTTGAGCCCAAAATCCTCTTAATAATTTCAGCCTGTGGATGCATACATTTTTTTTCTTATATAGGGTACTTCAGCATAACAGGAAAACTACAACAAAAACATACAATTATGTTCGGGAGACGTCATTGATTTCATGTGCCATTGTAGACTTTGACATGTCCGAGACGTGAAGAACTGTCTTCGGCGAATACCGTGCAGTATATTATTATTGTTATATGGCAATGTAAATTTGAAAATTAAATGTTCTGTTTTTAAGCTTGCACATGAGTGTCCAAATTGAATGGTATTCTTCATCAGACGCATATTTTATTTGTGTGTCAAGGGGTTAAGCTTCTTTGTCACTAAAATGAAATGTGTAAAGTGAATGTAAAACTAGCTTTTCTAATGAAGAATTTGTGATTTTTAAAATTTATGTGTATATTTAGAGAGAAGAAGATCAAAGTGGAGATAGCTCTCACTTATCTCAGGGTTCTACTCCTGAAGAGGGAGAAGATGCGCCTACTGTAGAAGTTTTCGATTTGACAAGTGGAAGTAGTGGATCACTATCTCCAGACACAGATGTAGAAACTTTGCGTACCAAGCTAAAAGAGGTATGCATGTGAATTTGAGTTATAAAATTAGCTAATTATTAATTGTGAACATTTTTATGCAGTACAAAATGAAATTTTGTTCATTCAGATTTTGTGGTTTTTATGGTTTTGTAAATAATGAACATATTGTGCCCATAGTAAGAAAAAATTCAAACCTTTTCCTAATTTTATGAGCACTGCGAATTGCTGTTCATCGGAATAATTATTTTCTGTTTTTTATTTCTAATTATAAAAATTAAAATTCTTTGATTGTAAAAACTGAACAGCTAATTTAAGATGATATTTATAAGTAAAATATTGATAAAATATTTGTAGTTAATATCTAAGTAACAAAATATTCTGCTGAAATTGCTACTGATAACTTTTTTTTTTTTTTTTTTTTTAATGCAGAAAATACGTAATCTTTTAAAATTGTAATTAATTGTTAGAATGGAGATTTAGTATAAAATAATAAACAGAAACACATGCAGAGAAGATAATTCATGCATGTTGCAACAACTTTAAGTATAACCTGTATGATGAAAAATGTACGGGCTGACAAGGACCATTAGCTAAGCCTGTAAATCTTACACAAGAAACATCTCCCAGAAACCCTTAAGGGCCATTCCCACTAGGGTTTATCTGAGCTAACGGAATCAGTTCCATGTGTCGCCTAGGTCCGCTATGCCTGCAGTTAAGATTTTTCAACTTGCTGCCCTATGGGGGGAAAACTGGTTTTGGAGATGGGTTAACTACGTCAGCTGTGTCCGTTAGCTCAGATAAACCCCAGTGGGAATGGTCCTTTAGAAATTAAGTACATCTTGCAATGTTAGAATTGTAGATGTCATCAACGGCTTTGCAATGCATACTATACAAATATCTTTATGCAAGCTTTAATGGTGGCAGCTGTTGCATTTGTTGAATATCCAGGATCACAATCTTTATTTTCGGTTCTATATTAATTTTCTAGAAAAGCTAGAGGAAGATGATATAGCTGAGAAAGGGATTTTTGTGTTGAGACTTTCTCCATGTATTTGGCTTACATCATAATTGTATGCATTTGAGGCATAAGAAGGATCTTGTAGTGATGCGACATACCTATGATTCCCCTAAAGTAAATGTGTATTGTATTGCTTCTTTTTAGAAAGTATATGGGTCATTTTTCTTTGTGCAGCAAACTGTTATGGCTGCATGTTGAAATGCTGCAACTGTAGCTAATGCCACACTTCCATAAAGATAGCGAGGACTTAAAGGAGTTCCCTCCCTCATTTTCATGAGGGTGTCTGCACTTAATTTCTGTGCTAAGATCCTGGACGTAGACTGGATTGCTCAAAATAATTTTCATCTTCTTACATGACCTCCATGCTCCCTGACTTTATCCCAAACTTTTTTTTCATCTGACATTATATCCTGAATTGTTGCCCTCTTTGCCATATGATTTAGTACAACTGTTAGGCTTATGCAGGCTGTCATTGGTATTAATTGTGGCATGGTAGGACATTGAAGGCATGAGCTTGAAATCAATATTGATGTCTATTGTGTCACCAGGGATGCATATATTGTGCACTTGTAAAGTACATATAAAACTTAGTTTTTTTTTTATATACTGATATGCACACCCCTGCTGTATTTTTTATAGTTATTGTATGATAAACTTTGAAAACTGGAGAAATATGAGTTACCCTGCAATCTCCTCTCAGCTATTTAGATAAGTTTATTTTCCTGTGAAATTCCCAATTAAATAATAAGTCCAAAATAAAGTTTTCCCAATTTATCATTCCTATTTCATAAAATTTCTGTCTGAGATTTGCTTTCTGTCATTTACAAACTTAACTTAGACCTTTTATAATTTCTGTTATGTTATTATATTGCTTTCAGTAAGTATACTTTAAAGCCGCTTCATTTGCAGTTTTGCTGATGAAAAAAATTAATATTAAAAGTTATGAAGAGATAAAAATACGTTATACAAATACATCATTAGTTAATCTACATTAATAAAAAAATTGTGCCAGATAAACAGATCACTGATGTATATATATTAGTTACAAAGCTCAAAATCCTGATGTCCAGTATCTGGACCTCCAGGCCACTAGCATTTTTTTTCACAAAATTTAGAAATGGGAAATATTCCAGAAAAGGGTGGGGTGATATAAAAGCAATTTTTCTCCTGTCTAAGATTCCTGTATATCATTTTCAAACATCTGCTGGTTAGGAAATCTTTGTAGCCAATAACAATGCATTAATTGATGTTAGCTGTGACCACACTCCGCCCCTTTAGTGGTTGTGGAGGGGCAGTAATATTTTTCTTTCTAGACCCAAAGGAGGCCACTAGGAGTTTAGTAAGTAAAACTCCAAGTGGGATGTTGCTAATACTGGTTTCCTTTTGTTGGTATAGCAGCCAGAAGAGAGAACTATATTTGGAAGAAATTAAATTCAATTAATATAATAAATTGGGTTATTCTTTAACTAAGATTCAGCATATTATTTTTTGCAGGTTGCTGTTATTACAGCTATGCTATAAAAATTAAAGCTGGAATTTTTAATTATGTTGGAAGGATTCTAATTCTGAAGCTGTAGCAGGATCTTGCAAAGTGACATGGTACTTGTCTTTTAAGTGGCCTTGGCGCAAGAAAATGGCATCAGCACAATTTGCGATTAAGAAATTACAATTTCAAAGCTTGGGAAGACAGCAACCTTGTTTTGGTGTAGATTTGGAGAAGTGATAATAAATGAAGCTGATGTAATAGAAGTTTTCCACTGTGATAATGATGTCTCAATCAATTAGAGGACAGAAAAATCTGTAATATGGTTTTAAATCCAGAAAATACCACTATGGATAGTGAGAAAAATGATAGAGAGGGTGTTGAGAATGAATAAGTTGCAACTGAAAATTTCATGGGAATTCTTAACACAGCAATTTCAAGACATGAAGAATGCAACTTGTAGTTGTATAAGAAATTATGTCTGTCAATAAAATTAATGAGAAAGTAGCATGGAAAACAGCTTAAAAACAATTTGCATTAAAGAAATATTTTATTAAACAAAGTAATAAATATTGAGGGTTTCTTATTTATTTATTTATTTATTTTATTTTGGTACTTTTAAAATCATAAATCTTCCATTATTTCACAAAGAGCTATTTCACGTTTTTAATTGCATATTTTATACACGCCCTTTTACTAGATGTAGCAAAATCTCTGGTATGGCTCTTAAATCCAAAAAATATCTCTATGGATAGTGAAGAAAATGATAAAGAGGGTGCTGAGAATGAATAGGTTGTGATTGAAAATTTCATGAGAGTTCTTAAAGCAGCAGTTTCAGGTCTTGAAGAATGGAACTTTCTAGGTGAACAAGAAATTATGTCTGTCTATAAAATTAAAGAGAAAGTAGAGAGAAAAAAAAAGCTTAAACATTTTACTTATAAAAAGTTTCATGAAACAAACTAATAAATAGACTTTTTGTAAATTTTGGTTCCTTTAAAGTCATAAATCTTTCATTATTTCATAAACCATTATCTTACATTTTTAAATTCATATTTTGTACATATCTTCTTATTAGATTTAAACTGATAATCTAAAATTCAGGAATTTCTGGAAACAACAGTCCCAACAATTCCGGATCTCGGACTTTGTACTGTGCATGCGCTCATAAACATGTTCTTATATAAAAGTATTTTTTGTGCTTTTTAAAATTTTTATTAACATTTAATTGAAATTAAATACTTAGGTGCAATACCGCAGTGCAGTTGCTGAAGCTGATTTGCAACAGGCCAAAGAGAAGGTAATTATCCCCCCCTTTTTATACATGTTCAAGCTTTTTAAGTGTTACTCATAATGGTCTCGTCTTTCCAAAAACTTTTTTTAATATTTAGAATTTATAAAATGATTCTGTAATTTCATATATAAAAATTATATTTTTATGCATGTTAAAAGAATTAAAAATGTAAAAGCTAGTTCTCATATTAGCAGATATGAGAGCATTTCAGTCTGGCATTGGCTGATAAGTAATTTTATCAGTTATTTAACTTTTTGACTTTGTAAGTATAAGCATGCAAACATGTTTGATTGTTTTGTCTGCAGTTATGGCTCAAATGCCTTTTTCTTCTTTTGAGTTAATTCTTAAGGTGTCCACATGACTACACTGGCATTTTAAATTGGAGAATGAAATGCACATACCCAGCAAAATGTTATCCAAATAAAGATTTGAGTGAAGTTTTCTCTAAATATATATTACACATATAAATTAGAAGAAAACGTTTATCCAATAAAATTTGTTGCATATTTAAATTTAATATCTATGGAAAAAATTACACTCACAGCAAAAAGATTAAAATGAAGTAACTTTCATTTTAAAAAGAATTAAATATGCCTTTTTGTGTAAAAAAATGCAAATATGCTAAAGTATTACTTTTTGATTTATAGTGCTTCTAAGTCATTTCTTATTTTTATAAACTGAAATGCCACCAATTTTTGTATTAACTTTTCAAAATAATATTTCCGAATTAATATGCTTGAAATTACTGTAAAACACAACTCGATAAATATATATGCCCCTGTGAGTATCACATGAATAATAACTCTTTCATTTGCATTCATTCTATTAAAAGTTTTCTTAGGAAACGTGGTTATAATTATTTTGCTATTTTTCTTTTTGTTAAATATATAAGATATTCAAGGTATGATTAAAAATTTTAAGTAATATTAAAGTTTCTGATAATTCTAATAATAATATTCTTTATTCCAAATATTAAGTGATTAAATTCATTATTTGTCATTTTTTGTCTTAGCAGACTATTTTTTATGACACTTCACAGGCTTAAAGCAGAATATTTATTGTCAGTTGAAAGTCGATGGTTTTGATGTGGCCTAATTAATTTCATTATCTGTGTATATTTTGTATTTTTGATATTAGGATGAGGTTCAAACTTTGGACGCTTTATCTAAAATTATGTACAGAATAAAATATGCAACAAGGTAAAAATAAAGAGCTAATTTATACAAGAGGTGTAGCTATATCATTACATAATGTGTTACTAGTTTCTATGTACAGTGCACATAAACTAGAATTGGAAATAATAATAGGTAAAATAAGATTTATTTACTCATGATTAAATATAAGAAACATATTTCAAAAATTGAAAAAAGCTAGTGATTCACAGAAGTATAAAATAACTTTGAATTAGTGGTTAAGATTGAGGACCAAACTCACAACCTTTCCCCTTGCAAACCAGCACAATTACCGATCAGATAGCTGTAAAAAATAATGGAACAAGAAGTCACAGCAATGATAATTTAATTAATATTCAATAAATGAGTGTCATATGGCCCAGGTTATTACTCTCCTCGAAAATTTCATAGCCATATTTTATTGAATACTCTTTCACAGTTAACTACTTTATTTTAGAAATTCTTATTTTCTTAAAGTTAGTTTTTGATGTATTTGATATTGAGATACAGAACTTCTTGTTATGCTTGAAATTGCTGACATTTGTAATAATTAAGGAGAATTTTGTAAGGTAGAGAATTTGATTTCGTATAAAATGTAATTTATTTAGGCTTCTAATGCTTATGGTGTTCCATTTATATGGAACCATAAGCAATAGAAGCATGGTCATATGGATATATGGCCAGATCATTACTTTATAAATGTGCAGCTTCTTTTTAATGAGAACTTGAAATTTCTACAATTATATGGTTTGAAAGAACTGAGGAAGCCATAAACAATGCTGATGATTTTATTGATGTTGTGAACAATTACGTTCCCTTTAAATAAAAATTCACTGCTGTGTGGTTCCAATGCCATTTTAGAAAATGTAAGCAAGAAGTTTCTTCAGATTATGACAAAATAAGAACTTGATCAGCTGTTAGCTGTTCATTCATGTCACCGACCCCAAATGCTGAACACATACTAACTCTGGTTTATATCCTCTTATATCCTCTGCATAATGTGAATTTATGACGGTGAAAAAAATGGTGGCAACTACATCACAAGCGTACTCATGTGAACAGGTCTTTATTGTTAGATTGTTCAAAAAAGGCTCTCCGTTAGAAAGTCCTCCACGAAGGCATCCCTCCCCTTAGGCAGATAGCCCTAGTGTGCTTTGTGATAATTAAATAAACCAAACCAGAAAAGCTCTCTTATTTCATCACATTACACAAGAAGGGAGTGAGATAACACCATAGTTTGAGCTGCATTTTAGAAAATAGAAATGTAAATAATCAGCACTGCAAACCTGTGATATTCAAATTTAGGGTCTGTTTTCGTGTTTTTCTTTCAAATTTGCATTTAAGTATGAAGTAATTTTTATTACTTGCATATTGAATAGCAAATGTATGTCAGCTTGTCAATTTTCTTAAATCTTAATTTAAAAAAAGGCCTTGTAGCACAGTGGCTAGCGCATTGTGCAGCAGCACCACAGGTCTAGGATTCAATCCCCACCCTGGGAAAGGTCGACTCAGCCTTTCATCCCTTGATTTTCATCCTTTGGTTCGATAAAATGAGTACCAAGTTCACATGGGGACTAAACAATGGGAGTCCTGCGACATGCTGCCCACTAGTTCAGGGCATATGCTTATGCACTCCGGCACATTGAAGAAAGCAGATTTCAAGGCACTGCAGGCATTGGCCCATTAGGGCAGTTACGCCACTCAGTTTAGTTAATCTAAAAAAACCTTTTAAAATAAATTTTTTTGTAAAAAAATTTTTAAGAAGCACATAATCTGCATTGTTCATTACCACTTGATACTATTTAGAGTGTTATTTCTTTTTTCATAGAGCATCATTTTTATAAACAATTTCAATGCAGAGGGGTACAGAGAAAGACTTGGTTGCTAATAGTATAATTTTGTTGCTATATTTTTAACATTGCTTTCAGATTATGTTTGTTGTGAGTAAACATTTTTTATTTATGATTTTCTTTCCATTATTGATGCAGAATACTAATATTCTGTACATATGGTGGTTACCAGGTAGACCATTCATACAGAAATTTAAAAGCCACCATGTTAGAAGTGAAAATGCTCAGATTCAGAATTTTTTAATATTTCAATTTTTTTTTTTTTTTTTTTTTTTTGTTTTAGGAAGATTTCTGGTTTGGGATGTGACCATGTGTCTTTAAACGATTATCACATCTATCACCTACTCTCAACCATGCGTCAAAAGAAACTTTTCCCAGAATTTTAACTTTTGGGTTATCTAATTGGTTGACTTGCATGGAAACCAGTTTATTCTTTGTGGGGAAGTTACAAAAGGCAAAATTTCAAGCAAAGCATTTTCATCTGTAATGCAAAAGGCTTCACATAGCTAGTCAGGGCATTGGTTCCAGTAAAACTGTATCAGCTAGGAACTCTCCAATGATACAAGGGGACACTTGTGTTTCTCAGAAAAATTTATGCTAGACTTAGTCAGCCTCATGCCCTATTAATAAACTTCACTGACTGACATTTTTATAAGGGTGGAAAAGACACGATTGGTTGTCAGAAAGAGGAAATGAAGATTCAGCTAGATCAGAAGAGGAAATGAAGATATATGAATTTAGAAAATTCATATAGCTGAGCACTGGATTCTAGTGCAAGCATAAAATGTTTCTGAAAAGTATTTCAGAAAGTTTTTTTTACTTCAAACTTGAAATGTGTGATTAATATTTTAAATCAAAATATCGGTCTACCTTCTGTGGTGCACTCTGGATATGTTCTAAGTGATGAGACTGCTAAATGAAGCTGTAAGCTAGCGTTCAGCCATCCTGCCCCAAAATAGCTTTAACTAAAGATTCGTAAGGGAGTAAATTTCACTGTTGCTTCATCTGTATGTGATTGTGCATTCATCTTGTGTGATATTTATTATTCAATACACAAGTGTTAGATAATGAGACAATAGTTTGTTCATGGCTTAATATAGAAATACTGAAAACTGGTTCAGGAAAAAAAAACAGCAATTTAGCTATTAATCTTCTGTCTGCAGGATCCATGAATAATGCATTCACCATATACTATAAATATATGCGAGCAACATTAAAATTTGCACATAAATTTTGATATCAGTTTTTCAAAGACTGGAATTAATATGCAGAAATTAATTTCAACTGCAATTAATTTTGCAGAAATAAAAAAAAGGATATGTATTTTTTATATTTTTATGAAATTTGCTTCCATCATCAGAGAGTTAAAGTAAAAAAAGCACCACACCAGTGCATATCTGTACAAAGTGAATCGTCAAATTAGCAATAATGAAGTTGTTTGCTTTGTTGCTGTTTACCATTCAGTTTTAGTTTATCAAAAGCATTTACAGAATAATTTTTTGGAGGAGGATATGAATTTTAATGTAATAAAAATGTTACTTTTCAATTATTTCATGTGTATATATTTCTTTACATATCAAGTACTATTACTATTTTTTCAGTTGCACTGTGTTGAAAAAATGGAAGCAGATCGTCAAAAAATGTTGAAGAAAATTGAAAGTTTACAGCATCAAGTAAATGAAAAAGAACTATCTGTACAAAGTGCTAAGCAGCAAATAGAAGAATACAAGTTTAAAGTTAGTAAAGCCCAACAACAACTGCATGATTTAGAACGCAAATACAGTAAAGCAAAGAAAATCATTAAGGAATTTCAGAAACGGTAATTACAGTTACTTTTAATTATTACAACTATGCTGTGTAGTGCAATGATATGTCAATAACCCATATTAGTTTTAAATATTCATAATTAAAATTTTAATTATTTAACTAAAGCATTGCAATAAATTTAGTATTGTGTTATTATTTTTATTTGTATTCAAAGAACTTTTTTTGAAGAATTTTTTTTGCATTATTTTGATTTGTGATTAGTAATGAATAGTGGTTTTCTTTCTATGTTAAGTAGCAATTATATTCTCTTTATTTCCATATTTATCTGTAACACCAATTGCTTTGTTTCTATTAAAATTATAGATTTTATAAATTATTAGAAATGTTGTAAAGAATAGCTCACCAGTGAGCGAGTGCTAAAACTGCTGAATACTGGTGGCTCAATCCAAGCTCAAATCTTGGCAAATAGCTTAACTGCATGAGAGTTTTCAGGACCTTCCCCTGGTGTAACATGAATACGAACCAATTTCTCTTAAAATCAGCTCTTCATGAAGGCTGTCATCTCTACCCTTAGGAAAGGTAGCCCTTCAGTGATTTGTCTTAATTCAGTTAATCCAATCCAGAATAAGACTGGTCTGTTAAAGAACTCTCAAGCTAATGTTTGTTTTTGATGCAGTCCATTTTTGAACATTAGTATCCCCTAGAATGCATGCCTGTGCTTCAGGTTGAATCAGTTTGAATTAATAAATAAAAAGTGTACAGTAGGTATTATTAGCACACAAACACTGATGGTTTGTGTCATGGCATTGAGAGTATGAAGAACAGTATTCAGTTTAAACAATTTAACACGTTGACTGCCGTAGGGGTCACCAATAACCGGCACTCAACTTGGCTACAGCGCCATTGGTGCCACCGGTGACACGACCAATAGTAAAATACATAATTATCGGTACTGATAAATTTTTAAATAGGACCGTTGTTACTACAGTACAGAGTCCATAATCCGAATGTCCATTATCTGGAATGATCTATAATCAGGACCCCAAAGCCACGACCTTTTTTTTTGTATGCTTTACGCATGTGTGTACGCATTTGTATGCTTTACGCATTTACGCATACGCATGCACATTGCGAGGATGTGTCCAGATATGATAAAAAATGTTTGGCACAATTTATGGCCAGCTACCATATTTCATGGTGAGGACGATAAAGATGATAGCCACGAATTTAAAGGTTGTCGGACATTGCAAACCAAAGGTGAAATTTACCAGTTATTGGATTTTGTAAAGAAATGTTGAGAAGCGGTAGTAAATGAAGATGATATAACAGAAGTTTTTCATTCCGACAATGCCCCAATCATCAATCAATTAACGGACAACGAAATCTGTGGTATGGTTCTAGATCCAGAAAATAATCGCTTCCGATAGTGAAGAAAGTGAGAGAGGTTATTGAAAACGAAAAAATTTCGATTGACAAGTTAGTCGGTATTCTCGACACAGTAATTACAGGACTTGAACAGTGGAACTTTGTAACGAACAAGAAATTATGTCTGTTTATAGAATTAAAGAGAAAGTATTAGCACAAAAAATGAAGCAACTTAAACAACTTACATGGAAAGAAATGTTTAATAAAGTAAACACATAAAGATTAAGCCTTTTTTTTTTTTTTTTTTTTTTTTTTTTTTTTTTTTTTTTAAATTCTGATACCCTTTAGATCATAATTGCTCTTATTTCATAAATTACGGTTTCATATTTTTAATTGTATAATTTCTGCATGCCATCTTACCAGATTTAAATTGATAATCTATAATCCGGAAAAAACCCTAATTCGGAATCGCCGAAGCCCCGATGAGTCTGGATTACGGACTTTGTACTGTATAATGGTTTGAAGAATAATAAATTTTAATAATTTAAATTATAAATCGTAAAAATGGTCTACAGATGTTTGGGGGGTCACCGGGGATGCCCAGCACAAAAAATGCATTAAGCACAATTTTATAACTCACATTATCGTCTGCAGATAATATTTTAACATAATATACATTGCATAATAAAAAGTCCAAGTTAGCGTCATGGGCAAACCAAGTCAGATGCGTGCAGCAGTCAACGTATTAAACATGCCATTCCAAAACTGAAAATTAGATGATACAGTAACCTTACGTTAGTGTAGATTTTAAATATAACTTTGTTGATTTCAGTAAAATTTTACTAGAAAGCCTCTGATTATCTATTGAATCGAATAAGCGAATGTGTGAAACTCGCTACGTTATTAATTGCATGGGAATGAAAATGGGAGAATTAATAAGTTGAGAATAAATCCAACTTTAAAGTTGTATATACATTTTGAGACTTTGTAATTAAATTAATATGAAATTAATAAGTAAATGATGTTAATTAAAGATTAAATGAAGGTGGGCAAATTATTATATTTTTTTTGTTTTACAGAATAACCCAGATTTTGCTCTACCATAAGCAATAAAGTTACAAAATAAATTAACTCATGCAGTTAATTCAAAAACTTCCCAAGGTACAACATACTATTTTGGGTAAAACAAATGTTAAGAATTAATACTGATGCCTAAGATGTAATAATAGATTGTGCCATATTTAATGCTAAAGAACTTTTATGTTGGGGGAAGACAGGAGTGTTACTTTATAAGATAAATTGAGTGCATCCATACCACATACATTGTTTTCCTCTTAGCTTTTTCTGATATAAGATTAGAGTTATCAAATATTTTTGGCTACTTGAAAAGAGGGTCCTGTATCTGGTAACTCTCAAAATCAATCAAGTTTTATTTTTAATCTATGCTAAAATTAGGTTACTCGTACCTAATTTTTCATATTCAGTTCACCGGTTATTGTGATTGAAGGCAGTTGCAATTATCTGATGATATTTGTGTTCATGTGTAATACCAGCCTATAAAAAAACTAAATAAATTGGTTTTATATGGAAAATTCTGATGCTCATTATTGATATTTTAAAAATTTACTAACCTTCCTGTACATCTGAGACTTTGAACCCCTGTTTACTATATTAAAAACTGAAAGACAAGTTTTTGATGCATTTGTTCCTTCTTTTTCCCTGCATTATTGACTTGTATCTTATTTCTCTCAGATGCCCCAGTCTTTTGCATATCACTCATAATTACAAAATTAATCTCTGTTCCCAAATGTTGCCATGATTAGGTTGGACATTGCAGCTTGAAGTTAGGTATTCGATTTAAACGATCCCTGACCTGAAGCAAAGGAACCAAATCCAAGCTAGGAAATCAATGCCAGATGTTATGCTGTTACTATTAAATTTAACCATTGTGTAGTTGTATTCACAGTGCATCTGCCAGAATTTCTGCAGTATTACTAATCATGTGTGCAATCATTGTACTATCTTCCCTTGATCCACAGTACAATGACAGCATTTTGCATCATTCCAAACAAAATTATGCATTTTCTTGTGTTTTGGATGCTTCATTTAATGTCTAGTGATCTTGTAATCGAGGGGATATAGTCAAACAAAAGGTGGAATCTTGATTGTAAGCTACCAAGTTTTATAAAACTATCCTATAACTATTGAATTAGATAGTTCACGGATTAGCTATTTAGCATGCCAAGAAATGACAGCTGAGGATTGCATTACCAGCTGTAGTGACTTTCAATCTTGATAAGCATGACAAGAAACATTGCTGTGTTAACATCAGGAGTTACAGTGGTAGTTTTATGATCATAGGTGTATTGTCAACGATTTTTCCGATTACATCACAACCAGAAAGATTTAACTATGAACCAGTGTGTAATTCTGTGTAAAACTGGGAATAATAGGTCAACTTATAAATAACTGATAAACATAATTTTGTTTGGCCTAGGTGCTCCAAAGGCAGAACATTCTTTAAGATGACTAGTGAGCTGGAATATTTTTCATGATTATCACCAACAAAAATGTGAAACAAATTGATAACTTTCGCATACAGAATATAAAAGGATATATCAACAACTTTATGTGCATTTTTGGTGTTACACAGGTTAATTTTAACATTTTGAACATACATTATGTACATTGGATTCTTTGTGACAATATTACACCCTGATACTGAGCAGCCTTTTTCCCGAGTTTTTTTGCCAATCACAGGATATTGTGGCTTCCACATTTCCTCTGCTTGCCAGATATAACTTCTGCTGGCTTCGCCCTCTTCCTAATGATGAAAAACGTCGCCATTTTCATACCATTGCCAAGATCCAGTGTGAATTGCATAAGCTTATTGATTTGTTTATGCCAAATGACTTTGAGGCTACATTCCAATGGTGGTAGGAATACTGGAATATATGCATTGCTGCATGACATGATTATTTTGAAGGACATTATGTTCAGTGGAAGTAATGTACTCTTGTCAAGAGGTTTTTCAGGAACTTTGATCCATCCGTGTACATCTGTGTATTTTTGCAAATCTAATTGTATCAGTTCTGTTTCAGTAACATATTCCTTCACTTTTAAAATTTAAATTTCTTTTCTTTTTTAGTACGTTTGGCATTACCTATTACATATACCTAGGAGTACATATTTTCCATATTTACAATTCAGATGCAAATAAATGTGAAAACGTTCAGTATTAAAGACAAAATGTTTTTACTGACTTTTTTTAAATGAAAAGTAGCTATCTATAGGTACAGTCAAAAGTCGTTAATTCGGAATGATCTATAATCCAGACCTCAAAACTAAAAACTTTCTGCGCATGCGCCGCATTGACACATGCGCATAGGCGTTTACGCGAGTGCGTAAGACCTTTTACGACTGCGCATATGAGTGTGCGCAAGTGCAGAATACGTTTTCGCGTGCGTGTTTTATGTATAATGGACATTTAAGCTAAAAATATCTAATTATCTATTTCAGTTAATGTTGATGATTGCATTATTCCTTAATTTTCGAATTGGATCCGGCTTATTATTTTTTGCAGACTGTTAAGAGCAATTTTATAAAAGTAAGCTTAAACTTTGATTATGTCAAATAGAATTTCCGATATATATTTGTTAATATGTAAAGGATCTACAAAGCGAAAGT